TCCTTCCTCCTTCCTTCTCCTTTCCTTCCTTCCTTCCTTTTCCTCCTTCCCCAGGCTGGAGTGCAGTAGCACGATATCAGCTCACTGCAACCTCTGCCTTCTGGCTTCAAGCGATTCTTGTGCCTCTCAGCCTCCCAAGATTACAGGTGCATGTCACCACACCCGGCTAATTTTTGTATTTTTTGTAGAGATGGTGTTTCGCCATGTTGGCCAGGCTAGTCTAGAACTCCTGACCTCAAGTGATCCACCCCCCTTGGCCTCCCAAAGTGCTGGGATTACAGGCGTGAGCTACCACACCTGGCTGAATTACCAACGTACTATCTTTTGGCATTCGTTTTTTGAAAATTAGCTTTTGAGAATCTACTGCTTGATAGTTTCCTTCTGATTATTCTTGATTTTTTTTTTGAGATATACCATGAGCATTTAATTTCAAGGTTGAAAACTTAAAAGTAAGCCAGTTTTTCATATTCTTGTAAGACATTTGAAGATTGCTTGTGTTAATGTCTTCACATAACTTATTTTCATTTATTGACATTATGTTTCTACAGCTATTCATTAGAACACACAGTGCAATTTCTTAACTGTGTTCTTGAAGGGGACCCTGTAAAAACAGTTGTAGCCCAAGAGTTTGTTCACCAAAATGAGAATGTCACATCTCATACTGGCCAGAAGTCTAAAGAGAAAAAGGTATGGAGTTACTAATTTTTTTTCTATAAGGGTAGATAATTGCATATAAAAATGTAATTGGTTCATTGAGTATAATAATTTAATGATTATTTCTCACCATTTTGACTAGACTGGAAATTTAACCACCAGTGGCATATTTGGCTTATAATATCTGTGCACTCAAAATAATGAATTTATAGCTGATGCTTTTCTTCGTGTGCATGAAAAACAGGCACTTGAATTTCTGCAACTTCTGTATACTCTGACACAGTAGAGTATGAGGTTTAATTGAATAGCAGTAATATGATGGGTCTTGAATATAAACATGTGGGCAGAAATATTTAGCCTTTTGGGAAAGTGCCAAATTTTTTCCCTAAGTGGCTCCTCCATTTTATATTTCCACTAGAGTTGTATGAGGGTTACAATTTCTACACATCCTCACTGACACATATTATTATTTAACACCTGTCTTTTTTATTATAACCATTGTAGTGAGTGGGAATACCCAGGATTTGTTTTAAGAATACCCAGGATTTGGTTTAATCAGATGTGGTAAGACATGGAGACATGGAAGTGTCAGAAAGGAAGTTTATCATACTCACAGAGTTCTGGAAAAAGGAGGTATGGATTGCTATCCCAGGCCACATGGGGAGCCAACAGGATTGGTCAGGAGGCAGAAGGAGTAGGGGGAAATGTGGGCAAAAGCCTGTATTTTGGTTTCTATGGGAAGGAATCGGTAAGGTAGGGTAAGCAGGTTTAGGATTGGCTAGTTTAAATAATTTCAGTAGGCTCTGGGGCATAGGGACTTCCCCTGGTTGTCTGGTACTTGGGGCAGGTGGATAGTGCCCGGAGTGGGAGAACCCTATTAAAGGAGGAAGTTGGAGGCATAGATTCCGGATTGGTTGGTTTGCAAATGAAAAGCATGCTCCCAGACAGGTGTTTGTTATCTCTAGGAATTAGCTAAACCTGAGGAGGTTGTGAGAGTGGATGGAGATGAGGGGGCAGAGGGAGCAGCCTCTCTAGTGTCTCGAAGGCTGCAAAAATGCCATGGTTAATACAGAAGTGGTATCTTATTGTGGTTTTGATTTGCATTTCCTTGATGACTGTTGATGTTGAGCATCTTTTTATGTGCTATTGGTCATTTGTATACCTTTGGAGGAATGTCTGTTCATATCCTTTGCCTATTTTTAAATTGGGTTGTCTTTATTGTTGAGTTGTAAGTGTTCTTTATATATTCTAGATACAAGTCCCCAATCAGACATGTGATTTGCAGATATTCTGTCCTGTCCATAGGTTGCTTTTTCACTCTGTTGTTTCTGTTGTGACACTGAAGTCTTTTAAATTTGATGTAATCTAGTTTGTCTACTTTTGCTATGTTGCCTGTGCTTCATTGCCAAATCCAATCTTATGAACTTTCCTCCTGTATTTTCTCTAGGAGTCATAGTTTCAGGCCTTTCATTTAGATCTTTAATCCATTTTGAGTTAATTTTTCTATATGTAGTGAGACAGAAGTTCAAGTTGATTCTTTCACATGTGGATATCCAGTTGTTTTGTACCATTTGTTGCAAAGACTGTTCTTTTCCCATTGAATTTTCTTGGCACTCTTGTTGAAAATGAATTCACCATAATTGTAAGGATTTATTGTTGTACTCCTAATTCTATTCCATTGATCTGTATGTCTATCCTATTGCCAGTACCACTTATCTTGATTACTGTGGCTTCTTGATTACTGTGGCTTTCTAGTAAGTTTTGAAATTGGGAAGTGTGAGTCTTCCAACTATGTTCTTTTTTTTTTTTTTTAAGAGATTTTGGCTATTCTGGTGCCCTTGGATTTCCATGTGAATTTTAGGATTAGTTTGTGAATTTCTGCACAGAAGCCAGCTAGAATTTTGATGGGGTTTGTGTTGAATGTGTAGACCAATTTGAGGAGTATTGCCAATTAACAATATTAAATCTTTCAACTCATGAAATGGAGTATCTTTCAGTTTATTTAGGTCTTTAATTTCCTTCAACAATGTGTTATAGTTTTCAGAGTATAAATTTTGCACATCTTTTGTTAAATTTATTTCTAAATACAGTATTTTATTCTTTTTCATGCTATTATAAATGTAAATGGAATTATTTCTTTTGTTTGTTTTCTTTCTGGTCTGGAATTACGCCCTTTTTAAAAATTTACTTTATTTTTTGATATTACTTTTAAATTAAAAAGAGATGAGGGTCTCGCTATGTTGCCCAGACTGGGTTCAACTCCTGGGCTCAAGCAATCCGCCCACCTTAGCCTCCCAAAGTGCTAGGATTACAGGCTTGAGCCACCGCACCTGGCCTGGAATTATTCATTAATTTTATTTTTGGATTGTTTATTACAAGTACATAGACATGCAGTTGTGTTTTTTGTATTAATTTTGTATCAGCATTAGGCTTTTTTTTTTTTTTGCTCACTGCAACCTCTGCCCTCTGAGTTCAAGCGATTGTCCTGCCTCAGCCTCCTGAGTAGCTGGGATTACAGGTGCCTGCCACCGCGCCCAGCTAATTTTTTGTATTTTTAGTAGAGATGGGGTTTTACCATCTTGGCCAGGCTGGTCTTGAACTCCTGACCTCATGATCCACCTGCCTCGGCTTCCCAAAGTGGTGGGATTACATGCGTGAGCCCCCACGCCTGGCCTAGCATTAGGCTTTTTTTTTTTAACAGAATTTTTTTTCTTTTTTTCTTTGAGACAAGAGTCTTGCTGTGTCACTCAGGCTGGAGTGCGGTGGCAGGATCACATCTCAAGTGATCCTCCCATCTCCTCCTCCTGAGTAGCTGGGACTACAGGCACGAACCACCACACCTGACTAATTTTTGTATTTTTTGTAGAGATGGGGTTTTGGTTGCCTAAGCCAATCTCGAACTTCTGGGCTCAAGTGATCCACCTCGGCCTCCCAAAGTGCTGGGATTACAGGTGTGAGCCACCACGCCCAGCCTTATTTTTAAATTTTATTTTATTTTACAGAACCTTATCATCCTGCAATTCTTATTAATAAAACCCCTCAGGGGTAAATTATATGCTCCCTTTTTTCTTTGAATGTTTCATTGTCAGTCAATTGGTATTTAGGACTTAGGTAATTTTGATTTTCATTTGATCTGTTAGTGCTACCACCGATGCCTTTGCCCAACTGGAAAATATGCGGGCTCATTATAGACATGGATATTTATAAGCGAAACTGCTTTTCTTTTCTGTTCCTCGTCCCTCG